AAGTTTTACTCAGTCAGTGTTGTATCTTTAGTTGAAAAGTCTTCCCTCACCTTTGGATTTGCATGTCCTGCACACTCAAATTCTTTGAGTCTAAATGTCTAACACCATCTCACACTTTACATGCCTCCTAACCAAAATTCTGATCTTTGCCTTTTCTTCTTCCCTTCTCCAAATCATCCGTAATTCCTTTCATAAACATCAGGTCATCTTTCTGTTATTCTATTGCTCATGCCAAAAACTTCAGTTTTCCTTGACTCCTTTTTTTCTCTCATATTCACATCAACCTTTCAGTAAATCTTATTGTCTCTGAATTTAAAACATCCCCAGAACCCAATTACTTCTACCATTCTGCTGCAACCATCCCAGTCCAAGCCATGATAATCCTCTGCTTGAATTATTGCTGTAGACTCCTAACTAATTCCCTTGCTTTAAAACTTACTCTCAGGAGGATAGAAGGAAAGGGTGTAGGAGGGTGAATGTGGTGGAAATGTTGTATACTCCTGTATGAAAATGGAAAAATGAGACCTGTTGAAACTATTCCAGGAATGGGGGGAGGGTAATAAAAGAGAATGATGGAGAGAGTGAATTTAACTATGATATATTGTAAACACTTTTGCAAATGTCAAAGTATACCCCAGGTAAAACAATAACATGATAATAAAAACTTTTAAAAGACAAAATATGTACATAAATAAATAAATAAACTTGCTCTCCCTATCCCTCCTAGTCTCTTTCATCTCAGCAGTGAGAGTGATACCCATAAAATGTAAATCAGGCCACATTTCAAAACCATCTGGTAGTTTCCTATGTCATTCAGTGTAAAAGCCAAAGTTCTTACAATAACCAGTAAGGCCCTGTAAGATCTGGTCCTACTGAGACAGTCACTCAGTAGGAGTGTTTCACACATTTGTGGGCCTTTGTTTTTGATATAGCGCCTATCTGGAATTATTTCTTTAGTTATCTACTTGACTTACTCCCTTACCTGTATTAGGTTTCTGCTTAAGTTACCTTATCAACGATGCTTATTTAAAATAGCATCCACCTCTATTGCTTCTGCCTGTCCTCTAATCTATTCTGCCTCTCCCACCAGCCAGACTTAATATGATCCCCATGAGGGCAGGGCCTGTTTTCCTCATAGCTATATGAACATACTATAGCTAGTTAACTAGATAGCTAGCTACAGAGTTTGTTTAGGGTTTATATATACACATATATATGCATAGATAGATGGATGGATGGATAGATAGATAGATAGATAGATAGAGTGCCTGACACACAGTAAGTGCTCAGTAGACATTTGTTGGATAAATTAATGAGTTAATGTCTATCCTAATTCTAATTTATTCAATTGTTGTTTATCTGTTGTGTTTCTCAAGTATCAAATTCTGAGGAAACTCAGAGAAATAATCCATCATTTATATCTCAGTGTGCAATTATTGATCCTTATCAATGCCTTCCCAATACAAAGCTGAGGTTAGCCTCAAAATGGTTTTTTGACAAAATGAAGTCTTGAGTCATGGATTTTTAAAAATCAGTATTGGGTGCTTTTCTAGACACTGTTTTGTTTCTTTTCTTCCTTTGATTGCCACAGAATCTCAACAAGTGAGTTGAATGAAGCAGAGTCTATTCCTTGTTCTCCATCCACTTATTCTTTATATTTTTCATCCTTGCCTTAAATCTAGTCTCCAAGCTCACTGTTTGATTAGTCTAATGGCTTTTGCCCCACCTCCATCTATTTTCTCCTTTATTAGTCACTAACCTCTACTATTATTCATCAGCAACTCTTTAAAAACTCTCTTCTTTGAGATCCCCCCCACACCACCTTCTTTTCTTCTTCTGACCCTTGTATGTTGACATTTTTAAAGATTTTGCCTTCACCCATCATTCTACCTTTTTTTCCTTCAGAAGTCTCAATAACTTTCATAGCATCAGCTACCAGCACTATACAGGTGACTTCCAAGCTAGGCTCCCTTACCTCTCCCTCCAACTCTAGCTCCTCCCCGTCACCTGCCTGCTAAACAATGTTCCTTAGAGTTCTATTCCTGCGAAATGCCAAGACAGTCTGACTAGGTGACACAGAGGCACTGGCACCCTCTGGTGGAACAGAAAATTATCTCTAAGTATCTACTGGCGTGGATGGAGCCTGATAGCAAATATTCCAAGGAAGATTACATTTGTTGAGCATCTACAAATATATATTCTGTATTCTCAAATATGCTCTAGAGCACATCTATTATTCCACCAATAATTATTTTAGACAGAGCCCATTTGGTTCCTTTCAATTCACTTTGATGCATTGGAAAAGATTTGGGCTGAGAGACCTCTTCAAGATGATTTCTAGCAGAAAATCGATGTGTTAGATGTTTTGCAGGATACAATGCCAGACTTAAGAGACCTCACAAAAGAGGAAGAATAAAACTTATTGTATCTAAAGCTCATAGCATATTAGTGCAATTATTTAGTTGTAGATAGAATAATCCAATGATCTTTTAAATAGTGCTATTTTCCTGAAAATATGTTTAGCTTGACCCGTTTCTTAACCTGTTCTTTTGAATAGTTTCACCCTCACCATAAAGGATGCCAACTCTAATGGCATAGGTAGAACAAACCTCAGATATTTTTTCCTTTTTAAAAATTTCCTACTTATTTACATAATTATGCATATATATAAATTTATATATATATAAATATAAATAAAACCCAAGTAGGCCTGAAATTCTTATCACAAATATCTGTTGTACAAACATTATTAAGGTATAACGTGGTATGTGCTAACTGCAAAGATAAGTTTTTCCTCTCTTGTTTAAAATTAAAAATGACTTTTGAACAGCCCTTTTTCTTTGTGGTGCCAGGATTAAACTCAGGACCTCATGCATGCTAGGCAAGTCCTTGATCACTAACCTATATCCCCAGCCTGGACAGCGATGCTTGAAAATTAAAAAAAAGATTAGTTAGCTTTCTTTCTTGGAATTAATCTAATTCTTCCCTTTGCATGGATTTTAAAAACTTACAAGAAAAACATACCTAGTTTTTGTTGAGCAACTGATTTAAGCAAAAAATGGGAATGTGATTTTTATAAAGGTAAGCTTTTAATTTAAGTAAAAATTATAATTAACTTTACTGTTACTTTGGATATGAAAACATGTATTAAAGGTGCTGGATAATAAAGCATCCAGAACTACACAATAAAGTAGTACAAGGTTTTATTGATTGTACTGGGGTTTGAACTCAGGACCTTGTGCTTTCTAGGCAGGTGCTCTACTACTTGAGCCACACACCCCAGCCCTAGGAGATAAATTATTACATGCAGTATTTTTAAAATTCCATTTTCTTACTGAATGGCATTACACTCATACATTGGTTTTATGATCACTTTAACAGGATATAAATTCATTTTCATTTTAATTGTTATTTTTTTAGTGGAAATTTGATTTATTTATTTAATGTATGGATAATATAAATATTATATTCAACCAAACAGCCAGTTAAATTATCTGCAAAAGAGTATTTACTTAATTTTTGTGTGTGTGCCGGAGATTGAATCCAATTTAATTGTTATTTTTAAGCTAAAAATAAATATGTTTTTCTCTTTAAGATGAAACCTATGCCTTTGTTGTTTTTGCCCAGATAATTAATTCTATGTAGAATGTGAGATAGTTTGGATGGACTTACTTTCAACTAAAATGAGAAATTTTTGTCCTTGTTGCTGATGCTTCATAAAAAATGCTTTCTCATACATGTAAGAAGATGATATCTTTTCTGTATCTCACTTCAGGGACTGATAATGGACTCTATTCAGTAATCATGGTTCTACTTTACAGGACCAAAAGACCTAGAACAAAATTGCTAATGGGGCAGCTTTGGTAACACTGCACCATCTGTTGCAGAATATCTGGGGACCTCTTGTGGAACTTAAGGGTTTCATAGAGAAACTCTGCTCTAGAAGCTGGCAAAATGAATAGTAGGACAATGTTAACCTCTGAACATAATTATTAACCTAAATTACCTTTTACCTCTATGTATCACCTAAAGTCATGTATCATACATTAGGAAACACTGTCCCAAAGGACAAGTAAAATCCAAATATGTTAAAAAGAGGAGTAAGAGTATGCCAAATGAGAATAGTTAGAGAAAAAGTCAATAGGGCAAAGAGTTCTATAATCAATAGCGCTAACTGACATCAACAAGGAACTCTGAGAGAAACAAAGAGGTCCAAAGTTGAGGGGGGCAAATATGAGTGCATTGTACAGACCTTGAACTAAGGAGGAAAGTTTCTTTGAAGAATTCACTAAGGTTTTCAGGAATGAAACCGATGACAGTGATTGAGAAAAACAAACTGACAGGATGGGAAGAATCTAGAAGTAGATAGGAAGTACAGACATAATAATTCACATAAATGGAAAAGAGAGCCAGACAAGAATTGTGGCAATAGAAACAAGGGAATGGGATGAATAGGAGACACATGGCTATAGAGTTAGTTGACAGTTATGGTATTTCCATTCTTATAAATATTAGAAATATGGACTGGAATGAAAGGTTTTGAGACTTCTGGTCCAAGGCTGAGTTGTTTTCTAAATAAGACTAACCAGCCCGTTATAATTCCTGGCTTTGTATCATGACACTATTTATGTCACGTCATGCAAGAACATAGACCTCACATTGCCAAATCTTCTGATTTTTCCAAAAGAAGTTAGAAATCCAGCTACCTTGTAAGATTTTGTTGTTTTTAAACATCAATAATTCAGTTTTTTGTTAGCACGTGACATGCATTGTGCACCAGACTTGATTGCCTATTTGCTACCTCCCTCTGAAACTATATGTTCTGCTTTCTAAAATAATCTTGAAAGGCATCCCAGACCAAAAGGTAATAATCCTGTTTAGAATCTATGTAATTTCTTATTCATAGGAAGCTCATAGAAAGCCTTTTTGTAGTGCCTAATGTTTTCATTTTGTTGAAGTGTTGATTTGAAAGTTACAAGCCTTTCTCTGCTTCTTCCCAGCCAGGTCTCTAGACAAACTTTATAACTTTGCTGATTGCTCTGGACTCCACCTGATATTTGCTCTAAATGCACTACGTCGTAATCCCAATAACTCCTGGAACAGCTCTAGCGCCCTGAGTCTGTTGAAGTACAGCGCCAGCAAAAAGTACAACATTTCTTGGGAACTGGGTAATGGTAAGTAAGGCTGTTACTTCCTTTGAATTGACAAGATAAAGGATGAAATGAAAATAAGTTGGCTTGGGATATAGTTTCAGTCATGATAATTTCCAGTGGACTGGCACAGAAAGCAGTTGAGATGTTTGGCCACCGAGTTGACAGTCCGTAACGTGTAAAGACCAAACAGTGAAGGGCAGTAGATCTGCCTAATTCACATCATTTGTATTTGTAGTTATAGCTAGCTACCTCCTTCCAACGATGGTGGAAACGCCACAAAATGGAGAAATATATAGTGATTTATGACCAATAAGTTGCTGTTAAACCAGATACAACCTCTCTGCACAGCGTGAGCTTCATTGTATAGTGTATGTTCAAGAGGTCTTTGGTCCTACAAGATGATCTTTATAAAATAATTCAGAAGAGCTTTGGTCAAACTTGGTTTTGGAGCATGTACATGTCTACTCACTCATAAAAGTATTGCATTCTGGAATTTTAAGTTTTCATAATAAGATGGAAAAGGAGGGTCTTATAAGAAGAAAAGTCCTATTTTCTTACCAATTGTCATTAGTAGGAATGTAGCTTTCATTTTCTTTCTTCTCACTCTTTTTTTTTTCTCCCTCCCATCCCTAGAGTGAGACAATTTGGGGAGAGTTAGGGTGAAAAGTGGTAGGGCTTCTGCTGAACTTGTGAATAAATGGTCTGTCATTGTTCTGGTTTTAATTGTTTTCTTTGTACTATGTTGTGCTACCTAACTAAAAGTGTCTTATAAAAAAATTCAACTAGTTATAAATAAGCCTGAAACAATTAAAACTTACCTACAAGTGATTGATGGGGATAATTCCTCCTGAGTTTTGGGGATCTCTGAGTGTGGCGGCTTGTTAAACTAAACATATCTTCAGTTGATATAATTGAACTGATTTGATGTAGTGAGAATGGGTAGGGGAGAAAGTAAAGACATATTTCTACATATAATTATCTATTCTGGTCAACTGAGAGCTTGCCTCTTCTACACACCTCCTTCCCTTCAACTATTGTAAATAGTTCAGAGAAGGAGCTAATAATAACTGATGTTGTTTACTTATCCTAGCCAAACAACACATGATTTCCATCACCATATCCTTTGAAGTGTCTGTTCAGGACTTCACAAAAGCAAAGAATCATTTATGAAGAGGAAAAAAGGCACTGTCACGATAAGGAAATATGAATATAGATAAGAACACATAGGAAAATAACCAAATTCATGAACTTAGAAATTCAATAAAATGGAAAGTATCAATAAGGTTTTTGTGAGCATTTCTACAGATAATTTTTGAGACTCTAGTCAGAAAGGCTACAGTTAGTGTTACCCCACCCAACTTTGCTTTTAAGAAGTGCAGCTCTGTTTTTTGATGTCACTTTAATAAATTAGCTGCCCATCTCAACTTGTACTTTAGGATTTGAGGAAATTTATTTTGCTGGTTTTTAAAAAAAATTTTTACAGCTACTGATAGTTTTTCTTGGGCTATATCCCTTAAGATAGCTAGTGTATTTTGCTCACAATTTTTCTGCATTGTATATTCAGCCCCTTCTCCTCAAAAGTTAACTGTGTGATCATCCGACATTTGTTTCTCCAGTCTTCTTTCCATTTTCTTCTTTGTAACCTTATCTTTTTGTGCAGAGGTAATAGTTTAATTATCAAATCCACTCTTAGAGAAGGACAATAGAACTGGTCAGTCCTCATCACTCATCCTCCCATTTACCCATACCCTGTTAACAAGCATTTTATCTCTAGAGCAAATCTGGTATTTGAAAAACCAAAGTAGACATTCTCTTGGTTGCTTCTCCTCTAGTGGCTAAATGTCAAGTGACTAACTTATCTTTTTCTCTTTGAAATTGGTGAATAGTGTAGGTTACAGACCACCAAAGCAAGACATACCTAATATCAAGAGATAAAGATTAGGAAGGTTTAGGATGTCCAAGTCTATGAAAGAAAGACTTACTTGATAGAAGACTTTTGACAGTTTTAATCTCTGATATAAAATGTTTCCTTAAATGTCCACAAATTGTTAACTATATAACTAATTAATGCTGGGTGATGACTGTAATTTTTTGTATTTCTATTAACTATTGGTAAACCGAAAGTAAAGGAAAACAGAGAATTTTGAAGCTGGAACTCAAAATGTGGAAATGTATAAGAATTGCAGTTATAATCCAACTCTGTTCCAGAAAAGTGGTATTTGTTCTTCAGAATGCTATATTTAGTAATAAAAATTACCTTAAGATAATGCAGTACCTCTAACTGAAAGAGTACTACACTACATTATAGATTATAAATGTGCTTTCCAAGTAGATTTCCCCATTTACATAAAAAGCTACTGTAATTATTCAATCAGTGTCATATCTACACCTAACCTAAAGGCATTTAGCCATTATCCTCTGATTTTAGTCATAGGATGCAGTTCTCTGGAGCCTATTGAGTGATTTAATGAAATCAAATTTCTGACCTTAGAAAGTTTAGTTTTTTTCACAACAATGATTCTGATTATTCTGGCAGCCTAGTTTTACTCATTCATTCATTCACTCAAGATTTATTAAGCTTTTTAGTTTACAATTGTGTGGATAACCATGTAATGTATAAATATACATTCACACATTTTGAGACTGGATTTTTTGTGTACATATAACAATAATAGTCTTGTGAAACCCAAACACAGGTTGACCCACAGTCATCAAACACTTAGTTATTTATGAGGATAGGTTACAATTCCAAGCTTGAGAGAACTGCATTGAGTTTTGATGGTTAGGCAAGGAGAGGAGGGGGAGTGGAAATGAAAAGCCATACAGTTTATCTGCTTGCTTTTTCCTGTCCCTTTTCTTGTCTTCTTCTCTTAGTCATTCTCAAGTTATACTCACAAACACATCTACATACATATACATACACATGCGTGTGTGTTGAGCACCTCATGTGCAAAATATTATGCCAAATATGAGGTGGAAGTTGGAGGATATCTTTGAGCTCTGTGATGATTAATCTTGATTGCCAGCTTGATTGAGAGATGCTTAGGAGATTAGGAAACTCTGGGTGTGTATGTGAGGGTGTTTCCAAGTTTGACTTAATGGGCTGACCTATCCTGAATATGGGTGGCACCACCCAGTAGGCGGCAGGCCCAAATGGAATCCAAGAGGAAGGAGGAAGCCTGCATTCTCTCTCTCTGCTCCAGGCCACCATGAGATGAGCACCATGGGTCACATGCTCCCATTGGCATGGGATTCTACCTCACCTCAGGCCCAAACATGGACTGAAACGTCTGAAAGGATGAGCCAAATCAGTCCTTTCTCCCTTCCATTGTTTCTCTCTTCAGTTGTTTCTCTCAAGTATTTGTCGCAGTGACAGGAATTCTGACTAACAGAAAAAATTAGTACCAAGAGATAGGGTTGTTATTATTACTGTTACCTGATGATGTGATTTGAAAACCTTTGGAATTCGTTTGTAGAAGGAACTTGAAAGGCTTGGAGAAACCAGGTAGAAAAACTTAGGAAGCTAAAGCAGAGCTTCATGGGGGATTCTGGTAGGAGTTCAGAAGGCCAGAATGCTGATAGAAATGTAATAAAGGCTGTGCTCATGAAGTTTCAGATGGGAACAAGGACTCTGTTGGGAATTAGACAAGAAGCTGTTCATGTTACATTGATGTAAAGAACTTGTCTACATTTTGTTCATGCTCTGAGACTTTGTGGGAGGCTGAGTTTAAAGGTGGTGAGTTAATCTGGTGGAGGAAATTTCAAGGCAGTCTAACTTTCAGGCTGGATTATGTGTTTTTCTGGCTGCTTTTAGCCAGGTTAATAGTGAGAACTGGGAGCAAAAAACCAAATCAGAAGTATTTGAAAAGCTGGCAGTTTGGTCACAATAGAGACATACATAAAGTTAGGGCCAAGGAAAGTGTGATTGCTGAGGAAATTAGCCCCACTAAAAAAGAAACCATGTACTTTGTACCAGGACAACAGGAAAGACACTTTGAGGACATCTCAGGATTTTGGCAGCATCCCACTCATTGCAGGCTCAAGGGTGTAAAGGACTAAACGAATTTAAAAGACTTTGCTTAGAGAAGAGAGCCCCAGGGCTTCCTGCTGGCACAGGGCTACCAAACAAAGTGTTTCCAATCATTCAATCATCCAGGCATTCAGAGGCTGCTTCAGCCATGGTTGGCATAGCTACTGCTTGAGCTGGCAGCAAACCTTGGCATTTTCCACATGAGGCTGGTTTTGCAGGCAAGCAGAATGCAAGAGTTATGGACTCCTAGAGGCTTCTACCCATATTTCAAAGGAAAGCCTGAGAGGCCAGGCAATGTATAGCAGGATTGGAATCCTACAAGGAGTCCATGAGAGGGTGATGTGTGAATCTGTGAGAGTGAAACAAAAGATGCAATGGAAACCTCAGAAGGTTGGAGACACCAGAAATATCTACCAAGGAAAGTCATGGGCTGTGAGCAGAACCAGCCCAGGAGACAGGCCATATGGACTATCAGTGGGAAGGCCTTAGGAGCAGGAATGTCTTAGTTCTTTGGAGCTCACATCATACCACCCATGCACCTATGGTATTTGTTGTTTGTCCTGGTGGATTTCAGTTTTGTCTTGGTCCCATCCCTTCTTACTATACACCCATTCTTCCCTTTTGAAATGAGAATATTTACAGTGTGCCTATATCTTGGGAGTATGTTGCTTGTTTTTGATTTTACAAGAGTTCACAGATAAGACTCTGCCTATAGACTCAGAATAAAATTTAGACTTGAACTTTGGAACAATGTTGAAACTGTTGAGACTTTGGGAAAGGAATTGATGTGTTCTAAGTTTTATGCAGGATAGTTATACCATGTTCTATGGAACAATGACTTGGTTACTGTATTTATTTGGAGATTAAGTGTGGTCTAAAGAGATGTTTTTAGATGTCAAGTTGACAAAGGGTAGACTTAACGATGGTTAATGTTGATTATCAACATTACTAGATTAGCTAAGGACACTTCTGGATGTGTCTGTGAAGGCAT